GAGAATTCGAAATCTAATATTGACTGAGCGTCTCAAACAAACCCAATAAAATTTTGCTTCTCTGGGGACTTAGTGATGGTGGGAATCATTCTTTTGTAATTATTGACTAATTACATCGTAACATTTTTTAAATCTAAACTATTAAACAATATTTCTTTTTTATGGAAGCACAATTTTTCAGTCACCATTTTCGCTTGAAACAATGAAATGAAACAGTTATGAAGCAAAATTTATAAACAGTATTATCATTATTATATATCAACTTCTATTATTTCTTACGTGATTAAGAAAAAATGAGCATCATTTTAGAACTTTAAAGAATGAGAAATCGACAGATTATTTTTTTCCAATAATAAAAGTATTAATATACTGTAATTATATATATATGTAATTATAAAATATATATGTTAGTCGAATATTTCTACAGAGTAAATATTTACCAACGAATAAAAATCGAGAAAATATAATTTTAGCCACACTTTCAATTCTTCGCTACAAGTGACAATAATTGTTACTTTGCGGTCTCATGTTTACTGACCTTTATAATTTAATTAGTTTTTACACTTACCGCTTTAATTTTTATTTCGTTTAATTTGCACACTGTATAAACAACAAATGCAGTAGTGGCTATATTTCTTTGCTCGTTTACAATTGATGGCATTTAGAATTGTTCCTTTTGAGAATACTTTTCAGATAATTATATTACTTTCAATAACAACTTCATTGGCAAATTTAGTGCCGTTGCCCGAAAATTTAATTTAATTCATAAAAGCAGTGCTTTATGGTTGTGGATTTAAGGCATAAACAGGATTTTTTTTATCGATATATTTGCATGTTTATTAATTTCGCAAGCATACCAATATTTTCAAATTGGGTAATAATATATAACAAATATTGACTAAAATTGAACTGAAACTTGCTAAATTTGTAATATTTGAAAAAAGCTAAACATGAAATCGATCAAGTTCGAAAGATTAGTAGATATTGCAATGTCCCATTTATATGTGTTTCTGATCCTCATAATAGATCAGAATTTTGCCGCAATGCAAATGCAGAAAAATGAAATTTAATTGCCTTTGACGTGTTTCTCTTATCCATAAAATTCGTATTCCGTTGATTAGGTCGAAAGCGGTGGAGCAAAATATTACATACATACTACTACTACTACAAGTGGGTATTTTTCTATTTCATTGCAAGTGTACACACCCATAATATACGATTATGAAGCGAAGATCCGCATTTCACGGGTAGGATAATAAATTCTCCTCAGAATAATAGATTTCCATCAGCAACGTAAAATTATTTCCTCGAAATATTACGAATTACACAGATATCAAATCAAATAAAAGCATCACTGAGAAATTCCAATAACCGTAGGCATTTCATAGCAACGATTAGTTACCATCATTTGTTATCGCATTTCTTTGTGGTTGAAAATAGAGCAAAATAAGTTCATTTCCTGAATGAGAGAATAAGGGTGAAAGTTTGGAAATTGATGAATCGGGCATAGAATAAATTTAACTAAGTTGAAATGTGGCACTGCAGAGAATAAATTTGTTTGTAAGCTTGAGGGGTGTTGAATCAGAAGGAGGTTTTAATAATGCTCCGCTGATACCTGCCTGTACATTTTTTTCAGTTTGCTTGGATAAGCTCTAATAAACACCTTTCTCAATGGCTTTTTACAAACACAGTGACGCTTTTGTACTGTTTCTCTAAAAAAAAGTTTAAACTGTGTGGAGAAAATACTCTGTTTAGTTTTTCACTTGTATCGCTCCACCCTGAGATGATCCAAGAAGATCCTTTCCGTATCATCTTGGAACTGTTTGCTTGGCTATGATGAAAATGATGAAAATAGTTTCAACAGATCATTGGTAGCTTTTTTGTGGGAGGGATCCACCCTGGATACTTTCCTTTCAGTTTGCTTTGTTGAAGTTTCTCCTCGATCCGGAGAAAAACGTTTATAGCCGGACACTCATTTCAATTTCGATCAACATAGAGCAATGTTGGATATGTGGGAAGTCATTCAGCTATAGAATCAGTACAAATTTTACTAGAAAATATTCAACATTAATAGTGGAATTTGTTAAATAGAAGTTAGAAGAGTTTTGCTCTGTAGAAGAGCAAAAGGGACAACTGACTCAAAATTATCCTGATGCTATTCTTGCTATTGGTTTTAGATATAATAAGAAAAGTAAGCATTTAGAACAATCGGTACGGAAATAAGTAACTGCCAAAAGGATGCGGGGTTCAAAAGTTTTCATAGAATTTGAAACAAAATTAATTAGCCTCCGCGTAAATTAATACACCAGGTTTCCATTAGGTGCTACTTGTATAATTTAATGTAGTTGATAATTCTATTTTTACGGGTTATGTGCTCATTTTTCTGATAAAAAAATCAAATATACTAATGTGTGCCATTAAATCAATTCTTTAACTATGAATTAAAGAGCGCATAAAAGAACATCCAATTCATCTCCGTTGGCCGTTCACGATTATGTTGCATTAAAATAATTATGCCGTTACAAGTGGTCCTTAGTATGAAGAAACTAATTTTTGATTTCCAGAAATCGCCCGCAACAGGATACATAAATCGTCATTTACAATTTAGGTTTTACACTTATAAATCATATTGATTTATTTTCAATCTTCATACTAGAACTGGACTTTTTAAATTGATACGTAAAAAAGTAATTTTCTGTTATCTGGAATACCAAGTCAGGATTATTGATTGGCTCTTTACAGCTTGACTAGATTAAAAAAGCTTGGAAAACTGAAACTCGGAGGGTTCTGTGTATACAGTTTCGCAACTAATCAACTTTATAGGTGTTTCACACTTCAGGTATTTTCTAAACGATCACGCACAGCAATATCGCTGGTGAATATTGAAAACACTTTTTTCCAGAGTTATAATAATGTTATTTTCACGGGTTTCCGTCGCAGTAGAAGCATAATAATTACAATAATACAGCAATAAATTAACTTTATCAAAATCCAATTTGGCAAATATACAATTAATGAATTTAAATGCGGAAAATTCAAAGAAGTATTTATGGCTTTATTGAATTAATGGCACATTAAAAAATGTATTGCTTCGCTATTTGTTGAATGGCGGTGGCCTGGTGTGAATTGAAAATTTATCTCTTTTTCAATTATTCAAAACTTTTGACAATGAATGGAAAATGTGCTTTATTAAGTTTTATTTCGGACTTATATGGGAAGTGTTTTGTAGGACATTTGAAGCTCTAAACTTCTCTTGATGCACGTTTATAATTCGTTGGCAGAAAGTGTTTCCAGATAATTTCACCTAGGTATTTGCCATCGCCTTTTAAGTTAATTATTTCTTGTGAAAGCTCAATGCATATACTTCGTATACTTTTAGTAACATAATATGTCCTATGCGTATATATAACGAGAACCAATATTGTACACTCACGCTACTCAGTATATTCTTCTTCTTATAGCACGTTGGCAAATATACGTGTGTATTTTCCTAAAGTTTGTTCGCCGTAATGTAGTGTCTGTTGTTTTCTTACGATTTATAGAGACCCAGTCTCCGTTTTAAAAGTATATGCCGAAATTTATGTCGAAGTAAAGTTCGGTAGAAACAAAATGCTCTTTCTTTTATTCCGCAAGTCTGCTAGATAATACACATATTTTTTAAAATTGTATTACGTGACCTACACGTTACTATTACTAGCGAATATTTACTCAACACATGCAATTTCTATTTTCGGAAAGTAAATTACCATATATTTCGGAAATATGCTAATGAAAGGGAGACTCCTAAGTTGTTGGCACCGGCTAAAATGGAATATACCAGATATTAATGCATTTTGATACCGCCATTATGTCGTTATTATATTCATGACCTCATCTCGTGCAAGTTCAGGCTTAAAAATATTTAACTTGACCTTAGCCAGAACGTTTTAGTTTAATGTTGCAATTCTATAATGACGTTAAGAAACAACGTTAGTATTTGGGCGGTTAGTTAATGTGTAAGTCGAAATATGGGATTAGGTTACAAAGAACTTTGAGGCAGTTAGATGGGTGCGAATTAATTCTCACTTGATTGGAAGCTATAGCTGGCGGCGGTTAATATGTGCTAATGTGCAATTTAAGTTCGCACGGAATGCAAAAACATTGTACGTTCTCTCAAACAGCTAATACATTTTTCTTATTGGATAATTATGAATGGATAATTGCTATACATTATTTGGATAGCTTGAAGGGCAAAGTGAGGTTGAAGGGTAAGGTAAGCACTTTTCATCAAAATTAATACAATATGAAACATGTTGCTACTATTCTAGTATGGAGATTTAAGAAGAAAGCGACTTGAATAAAATAGATAAGATTTCAGATTTTATAGCAAAGTTCTGTATGATGATAAGTACTTAAATTATTGCAAATCTGCAGAACCTATAGATTATTATAATATTGTTTATTGCTATCCTTTCCTAGTAATTGTGAAAGTTTTATGAAATATGTCTCGTCTTCCACTGTGTTTACTTCACTGCTTCTTGAGCTTGATTGTCTTTGTCGCGTTTTTCGAAATTTCGATTGCAATAACAAGAGCAAAAATCACAAAGAAGATTATCAGATATATTCACCTGATTAAGACCATCGCAGAGATTTCAAGTACATTATTTACATTTATTGATTTTGGCATATTTTGTCTAAAGAAAAGCTTCACGAAACGCACTATATGGAGAAATATAGCAAAATGCATTGAACAATGCTTACATTGGGGCAGAAAGGGACAAGTTTTTTTTAAAGAAAATGTGCTCCTGTGGTTAAATAAATTTTGCCAATGTGAAAAAAATCGCCTGTTAATAGTAGCCACTTTTGCTACAAAATTCGGAGTTAATAAAATGTCCCAGCGTCTTCGAACGAAGAGTGTTGGAATGGAATACGTGCTTATTCATTCGCTAAAAACGATCACAATTTTAAAATTTTTGAATTTATTTTCTTCGGAAAGTATTAATAGAAACGTTTTTTTATAGCTGAATTGGGACACCATAAGTTGAAATCTCATTGCCAGAAGACACCTCTAATTCGACCAATCTTGCGGTAAGGAAAGAACAATTATTAATGCTAAAAACATTTAATGTGCATTCGTGATGTAGGAAAACCTCCAAGGCTTTGCGGAATTTTGACTAGTAGCGGAAGCAAACTTGTGCGTTCCACATCGGTTGTACATGTAAAACAGTATGAAATGAAAGAAGCAGCATTCACGTAACTTTCAAAATATTAACATATTTTAAAAAGACGTAATTTAATTATTTTTAATTTTCAGCAAAATTTATGTAGGTAAATTCGTTTGCTGTTGGGTCTTTGTCACATTTCAAACTCATAGTTGTGAAAATATATTCCGTGTTCACGTACGTATACGTGTGAAACTGGGTGCCGTAAATTAACGTTGCCTTAAAAACCGCGGTTGTAACATTTGAATGAACGATTGCAACGAAAACGTTTTTACTAAATTGCTTTAATTTATTTTGTAAGTTAGATTTTTTTCTTCCAAAACCAAGAAAAACCATCTATATTTTCCAATTAATTAGATGAAACAGAAATCTTATGATACTGTTATTACGTAACATGGAACTTTCTTTATACCACATAATATGCGGAATTCGAAATTAGTCCATGGCGGTCACTTGGGTGCTTCCAGTGAAAATATTTTTTAGTTGCCTAAGTTGGAGCCCACATATTATTGGTGTTCTAATGTGTTTTATATGAATCTATAAGAAAATCAATCGTAACCCAACATTATGCAAGTGTAAACCGATTTAGTAGATAGTAACCGTAATGCATTCACGAAATGATTTCTAATACTGTTTTGAATATTACTTACAAAGTGCTGTAGTGTTTTACTTTTGAAATTATGCCAGCACTACCTAAGTGTTGTTTTTTTATTGATATTTGGTATTTGCATAATCTGTATATATTTTAATATTTTAAATAATAAAATTAATGTCTATTGTTCTATCCGATTTTCTAAATACGTCCCATATATTTTTATAGATATCCATACCGCTACAGAGCATAACATAAACTTCGCAATATGTACTTCAAATTTGTGTGCATAGACATTTTATTTCAGAATGAAAGCATCAAGTTGCTGTGAAATTAACGTTCAAATGCCTCTTATATTCGATAATTTTGTTTTTTCTAGTACAATGTAATTTTGTCGACAATGCAAAAATAAATTGCTGTGTAAGTTACCAAGAACCGGAATCATTTGCTTTTCATTAAACTATCCGCAAAAATCGATTTCATAACCTTCGCAGTTAAATTGAAAAGTGCTTTCTTCTTCGAGAGTCACTTAGCCTGAATTAGAGGAACTAAGGAATTTAATATTCGACTTCTTTCGGAAGATTTACATAATTAGTCTGCAAAAGAAAATAAATTAATTAATGGAAATCGTTTTTAAACTTTTTATAAAAGTTTTAGTTAGTAAGTAAAATGAATAACTGATATTGACAGAAAGTAGGTACCTATTGATATGAAGTGATTTTTTGAGAATACCATTGTAAAGAAAATATATCTATTCGCAGCCATGCTTGCGCGATTATTATTCTATATACTGACTCAGCTTGATGCATGAAAAAAACAGTAACTGGACTGAAAATTGTTTGTAATAACGTATTTTACTTTTCATAAATTCGTAAAAAAACTTGTAAATTTTGTATGTAAGCGTTCAAAAAAAATTCGCGGAAGTGTAGCACGTTTATCTGGAAACTTTGGAGTCAGACGTCAAATTTTCAATTAAAATAAAATGTATTGTTCTTGTACAATTTGCTTATTCATTCATTTAGTAAATGACAATTTTTTAAACTTAAAAATTAGTTTGATGATTTGAGGCTTGTTAATTACTTGGGAGCATTGTTGGTTCAAGATCATTTATTTATATTATAAGAACGCTTCCGCTTCAAAAAACAATATTATAAAATCCGCGAATTGTAATTTCTGGTCGACTTTTACGTTTTCGGCACTGTTCAAGTGGCGGATGATTTATTAGCTACGCTTCTAATTCTCACGCGGCTAATTTTTTAGATGGCAGAAGTGAGTTTGTGCATGTGAGCTCTATGCAAGCGGAAAATGAAGCTCGAATAATGAGCTCTTTGGAAACGCCATTATTGCTGGTATAGTTTTACGACGGTAAATCCATTAGCGGTTATTAATTCAAGCACCTCTAGGAAAATCGGAAATCTAAATATTCTCCATAATCTTTAATGAATTTAATTACCAAGCGTATTACTCATAGTTGGTTCTTTCTTACAGCCCGGTTGGATGTTGCTATAACTCAATTGAAATTATTTATGAACCAGAAATTATTCTAGTAAATTCAGAGAATCAAATCTAATTTAATAGAGTCAACTTCAGCGTCTGGCTTTCACTTAGCTAATTATTTCGCTTTTTCCAGGGGCTAGTTTTTCCAACGTAATGGATTTTCTTAGTTGAAAAAAATCCATCCTTAGCTATAAAGCGACTTTGTTATAAAGTGTGGAACAATCTAATTAATAAATGATTCGATAGAAATTAGTAACGACGAACATCGAGTAATACTTGCAGTAATTTAATAGACAATCGGCATCAATTCACACGACAAAACATATGACCTTTAGATTGTATATGTGTGTATTGTGTACTTGTCCTAACGTACAATTTCTTCGACGTTCTTCAGTCCCGGTTTTAACTATTGTTTGTGGTTCGTACGTACCCTACCTAGATGCGTCAATAAGTCTTGGTTGCAAGTAAAAGCCGGAATTTCCGTTCTGAAGAAAAGCTTCTTCTACATGGTTGAATTGAATATATCTTTTTTGCACAGAATGGTTCGTTATTTTTGTTGAATTTTATTGTTTCTTTGATTTTACTTTTTTTTATTGAAATAGCAGACACTTTTTTGCAAGTAGTAGGTAGATATGAAGCCATGTTCAGAAACTGGTGCTTGTATTTCTTAGCAGTAGGCCCTATGCTAGATTATAGTTGCAAAATATATCGAATATATCATAATTCCAATTATTCTACTAGTTTCGAATAGCCGAAGCACGGTACAGTTTTGTTAGATATTTGAAACTTATTATATATTTAAGTACTATTTAGTACAAAAGTTGCAGTTCTGATTACTACATTCAACACTATTCAGCTACCTATTTACTTGAAGAAGTTGCCTCTTAACATAGATTTGGGCCGAAATGCTGTTTTTACCGAAATTTCATTATTATGCCATAGTATTGTTTGCAACCCAAAAAAATAAAATTTTATGATTTCAAATGACTCAATAAAAATAAATGCAACTTTCCCACAGAGAACCTTGCGCATTAGAGAACTCGAGAATATTCTAGTGTTCGTCCAGTTTCGTAATCAAAATGTCACAATTTTATATAACATACTAACAAAATATTTCTCTTAATATACATTTAATTTTATTGGGAGAAAATCTCAATTTCTTCTAATATTATTTTCGCTGATGACGTGGTCAAGCCAATTCCTGCAGCTGTTTATCGTAACGAAAAATAACCCGCAGTCGTAACCAGCAATAATGAAATGGAGACAATGAAACTCTCTAACATTTCCAAGTTTCTTTCTTTCCTTAGCTACGGAATTTAGTCCGCACTCTGCTTTCAGTGGTCATAAAATCTCTCCACTGCATTCTGTACTCTCGATTTTGATATTGGATAGCAATTTAGAAATTCAGCACAACAGTATGTCAGATTGGTATGTTAATTGCCTTTCGAATGATACGCGTTACGTTAAACTGAAATCGGAATTCTACAAATTAAGTTTTTTGAGTAAATTTCAATGTAAATCACTTAATGTCTTCACGACACGTTAAAATATGTATTGTAAATAGTTACTGTAAATATGCATCATCCATGAAGCTCACTGATTCAGATTCAAATTATAGATGAACATTGTAATTTTATGTAACACCTATGTTCGAAAATTGTTTTAGTGGGTCCGCTGTTGTGCGAGTTTAAATGCACTTTGAATAAACAATACAACGTTGGCACTTTTCAACCCATATGGGAATTTCCTGCTTATAAATCGAACTTTAACCATTCGACATGTCTAAAAATGTATTTTCTGTGTAAGCCGTTTTAAATCAATAATAGCGTTTGCATCTGTTCCAGTAGATATTTTAAAGTCATAGGTGAATAAGGCGCGCAAAATCTTTTGAAGTAGTTGGAAACAAGGATGAACCACATCTGCATGTTTGAGATATTTCCAATCATTTTACACACATTTGGTAATATTTCAACATTGTACGGTTAACATAGAGGATATAATTTTTGCAAAAGTGAGAAAGTTATGTAGTGGAGAATTTTATATTGTGATAGTATGTGATGGATCTACGCATGCATTGTGATAACGATATCTGAGAGGACTGTAAAATAACAAGTTATAAACAATGGAAACTTTTTCACCTTAAAATATTTGGATATTGGTTTCAACGTTATTTACTTCTGTTGCCAATTAAAGAAGAACATTTTCTGTATATTGCGTTTCGAGGAAGTTTGCATATCAAGGACTATAAATGAAATTAACTCGTTCTCAGGTATATGTTTACAATAACACACTAATTTATGATATGGATATAATGTGATTGATATCTTTCCGCCTATCGATATTTTCCAATTCCTCTTGCTTCTTTGCATTCAAGCGCCATCAATATTTCATATCTTGATATTATTTTGGCTGACGATGCAATCTAATAATCTCGCCATCTATAAGAAAAAGCTGGTAGAATCTCTAAAAATTCATAACTGCATTTCATAGCCATATATAGCATGAAAAGTGATTTTCATTGGTGCAATCGGAATTGACGTTCGGTTCCTCGAAGTTTGTTCCATTGCAAGGCATTTTATTTTAAGTGTTTAATAAAATAAATAGAAATAAAAGTAAAGTGAATATAAAAATCCTTCAGTACCTATATTTCGGTTAGCAAATTTCTAGCACTAAAAGTCAAAAATAAATGAAGGTAAAAGTTGGTCTCTGAGTGAAGATGAGTATAGTTTTATAACTGCTTTATAAAGTGTTTTGGTAAAAAGTTTTTAGTAAAAAAA